TAAGAGATAAAGTAATGGCTATAACATTAGATAATGCTAGTGCCAGTACAAAAGCAATTGAGTTATTTGAAAATGATTTAAGTTTATTCGGTGATGGTACAATTTTCCACCAACGTTGTGCATGTCACGTAATCAATTTAATAGTTAAATCCGGTTTAAAAGAAATAGGTAATCACATTACAAAAATTAGAGATAGTCTTGCATGGATTCAAGGTAGTAACCAGACAAGAAGATTGGTTTAGGTTCTTACAAGCATTAAATATACCTCCTAGAGCATTAGCATTAGATATGCCTATAAGATGAAATTCAACTTACATTATCCTTCAACAATGCATCCCCTATAAGGATGCCATAACAAACTATATGTGTGTAAAATTAGGCATACGACATATAGACGAATTTGATTGGCAAATTGCCGAAGTTTTGTATCAATTTTTAGGTAGGTTTCATGAAGTTACTCTAAAACTTAGTGGAACATACTACCCAACATCACCTTTAGCTTTAGGTGAACTTTTAAGAATTAGTATTTTATTTAACGAATATAGGGAGGACCCAATCTTAGGAGTTCCTATTCATTTTATGGAAAAAAATTTAAAAAATATTGGTCTAAGTTGCCTTTGTTGTATGGTTTAGGTACTATTTTTGATCCTAAATTAAAATTAGAAGGTTTAGAAAGTGGTTTAGAAAACTTAGGTGAATTTTTAGGCATCAATTGTAAGGACCAATATCCAATAATAAAGGAAAAAATATATTCGATCTATAGTAAATATGATATTAGGTTTAGAGTACCTACTAGAGTACCGGAACCGCAATAATAAGACGAAAACCCGCATTCATTCTTGAATGTTTTCGGGTTGAAGAAGAAAAAGAAGACAACTCAAACAGAAGCTGCGAGTGAATCTTCATCAACAAGTGGCAGTGGCAGTGGCGGCGGCAACTTCAATGAGCTTATGGCATACCTCAGTGAAGGCTTAGTAGTCGACAGTACGGCATAATCGTTTGACTTAGTTCAATGGAGGAGGGCACGGGCATTAACTTGGCCAATCCTAACTCGATTGACAATGGATATATTTTCGATCCTAGTCTCCACTATTTCATCCGAACAAGCCTTCAGTACGACAGGAAGAATACTTTAGGAATGCTGGAATGCATTACAAAGGGATATTGTTGAAGCCTTAGTTTGCATTAAAGATTGGAATCGGGCCGATCAACGTCTACAGGATACAATTTCACCGGCAAGCCAAGAATGAATCAATGAATTTAATCGATTAACATTTAATTTTGAAGACGATCCTTCAGCTTCAAATTAAATTGTAAATTTGTAATTTGTAAATATGTATTTACTTTGGACATTGTATTTGTAATTGTATAACTTTGTAAGTTTGTAAAATTTATAATTCGTCACAAAATGATTGCACTCTTTTTTCCTTGCCAAGTTTTTATCCCAATTAGGTTTTTCTTGGTAAGGTTTTTAACGAGACAATCATGAATTACAAAATTAAAAATTAATAAAGAAATAATTTTTTTATATAGTTCGTATGTTCATTTCAAATTTCAAATTGTAATATATATATATATATATATAAATTTTAGCCCAAAATAACTTAATATTAAAAAAAATTTTAAAAAAATTCAGGCTCTTCGGGCGGGCTCGAGCTGCCTAATACAAGCCTGCGGTTCAAAGTGAAATTCGGGCTCGGGCAAAAATTCAGTTTTTTTGGGCGGTCGTGGGCTTAGAAAGAGAAAAAAAAAGAGCAATATAAACATTCAAGAACACCTTTTTCTTTTAAAGAAAAAAAAGGTGAAACTAAATGCATAATTAATAATTTAAGCAGTTAGAAAACACCATACACATTTTTTTTATTGTCTCCCCACGTTATAAAATACATACACAGTTCTACTCTTTTCCTTTTTTCCCTAAATAGATTGTTTACCTTTTGTTTGTAGGATAAATTAAATCAAATTAAACATGAGCACACACAAATATATATATATATATATATATATCATTTCATCTTTTTAGTGAATCGTGTTCTTTTATAATTAAAATCTTGTTAGTTACTTTTACGAGGAGTTATTATCTACGTCCGCCTTTATGATAGAATCAGTCGGAGGTTTGAGAGACAATGATCTATCCTGTGAGAGACAATCAGTTAATCTCAATCTTTAGTGGGTTTTCTTTTCAAAACACACCGGTAGAGGTTAATCTCAGCGAGTAATAGTCTCAATCTTGACTGATAATAAGTAAGTAGAAATCTCACTTATAGTATGAACAAGTTTAAAAATAGAATGTTATACATGTTTTATGTACATGTTTATGCTTAAAGTTATAATATGTTATGCTATGACATATCGCATGCTCACTATTAAGATCTATATGACTAACAAAAACATTTAAAAGTGTCGTACCAACCTCTCGACTTAGGAGAGGATTTAAGGCATGAGGAGGCAATTATTCAGTACCTAAGGAGGTAAATTACGGTTACTGTAAACCCTCTCTACCTGATCATGCACACATCTCAGTGTGTACACTCGGGCCCACATGAATAATAAAATAGGTTCATAAAAGAGCATAATTAGTACATGCATTACTGATATACTTTAAGTATTCTGTTTTAATTAGCGAGACTATAGGAAACTTTAAGTACTCTGTTTTAATTAGCGAGACTTAGTTCCTATTTACTGAGTATAAACTCACCCCTATGATGTATTTATATTGTAGGAAGACAACCAATGAAAGTTTAATGATGGGTTGTGCGCAACGATAGGCGAGCTGTGTAGAGAATGAGAAATGGATACCGCTCGCATTTTAATTCTGCAATATGTTTTGTTATGATAAAATTTTTAATTGTATATATGCAATATGGTTTTAAGAAGACTGAAACTTCTTATATAATTTAAAAATTAATATATGTTAATTTAATATTAAAGTTAAGTTTATTTTTCTTCATTATATGATATATAAATAAAAAAAATATTCGCAAATTCAGTTTAATTAATTGAAGTATTTTAAGCGATTACATGCTAGTAAGTTTAAGAGACGGCTTCTTAGTTAGGGTCGTCACATTAAATGTCAATTTCCGTTAAAAATTTAACGGATTGACCATTTTGTTAACATTTTATTGTTCAGGGGAACAGATGTTATGTTTTAAGGGTCGGAGGACAAAGTGTTACGAGGTATAATTCGAGAGAAATTTTTGTAATTAATCCTAATTTTAATTCCTCTTAAATCTTGACATATTTCTCTCAATCTCCCCTAATAATTTCAGGAGTTAGGAAACACCATACATCTTTTTTTTTCTTAAATTTTATTTTCTACCACGTCATAAAATACATACACAGTTTTATTCTTTTCCTTTTTTTCCCTAAATAGATTGTTTACCTTTCGTTTGTAGGATAAATTAAATCAAATTACAAATGTGCGCACACTAATATATATATATATATATATGACTGTACAAAAAAATCATAAAACTGAAATCGACCGAAGAATCGACCGCTCAAAACCGAAAACGACGGTGCCAGGTGGAACTGAACACAATCGGTTCGGTGAACCGACTGACTTTATCAAAAGTCGGTTCGGTTTCGGTTTTGCGTGTAGAGAGTCGGTTAAAAACCGAACCGACCGAGATGGGATTTTTTTTTTTTAAGTTTATGTTGTCGTTTTGCACTCTATATTGTCGTTTTTTTTTTAACTTGTGTTTGGGCAATTATCAATTTTGATGTTGTGCTTTGTATTCATTTATTTTGATTACGTGTTTGCAACTTTGCATTGAAAGAAAGTTTTACATTTTTTCGTACTTGCGGGTCAAAAATGCAACTAAAGATGCTAGTAACCTGATGGTTAACTGAGGTCATCTTCTTGATTACTAAAACTGAAAACCGACCAAAACCGACCGAAACCGAACCGAAACCTGATGGTTAACTTAGGAATGTTGATATTCTTGATGTAGCTCCTGGGGGAGTGTTGATATTTATTGGAGTTCAGTAATCGTTATCGATAATATATCAATGATAAACGAGAGTTAGTTATATAAACTACATCTGATTAACTCTAGTGATAAACTATATATAGTGTGGGAAATCAAAGAATGAATAATTTTCATTAATTCACAATTTGTACAACAACGACTACTACTACACAGAGATACCCTAAAAAATTAAAAACGAAACGAACTGTCCTATACCAGATCCCTTGAAACAAAGAATTTGCATAACTGATCATTTCCTAATTCCTAGGATTACAAACTCTACAGTTTCCCTTTCACAGCTTTCCTTCCTAAAATAGTTAAGCCACTAATAACGTGTTTTCCAACATGTGGTTTGGCATCAACTTTTGTCTTCTTATTCTTTTGAAAGTAGTATGTTTCGAACTTTCTCACGAAAGTAATATTTATCAAATTCACCTGACTTAGTTTCCATTTCTATTGTAGAGTAGTCAGCTTTGTTGTACATATGTAGAGCTCGTTTAATTTGTTGATTCGAGTTTTTAATTTGAATTGAGATGTAACTTTATGTGAAAGTTTTTTTACTGTAATAAAAAAGTTAAATGTGACTGTTTCTGAGAGTTTTTTTACTATAACAAAACTTAAATTATAAACTCAAATCGGTGAAATAAACGAGATCATAGCTGTGATACACGACTAATCTCAGTGAAAGTCAGCGGAGGAAGTTACGTTGGCTCATGTTTTATGCAACTTTTTGTACCATTTATCTCGGTGAACCTTTCAGCAACAGATAAGACCACAATAACATAAAATTCACAAATAAATGTTTTGTTTTAAAGCAAGCATGTATTAAACACGACAATCTAAAACAAAACAATAAAAATGAATTAGTATTAAAAAAAATTAGAGAAAAATGAATAACCATCTAACAGAAAGTGGATAGAAACATGAATGCTGGCAGAAAAAACAACAAAATAACGGGCAAATGGATAAAAAAAATGAAGTTGTTTTCAGTTAGAAGCAATGTAAAAAGTTACACGATTGACCTGCTTTTAACTTGTCCATCCCTGCCATACCATAAAAGGCACCAACCTAAGCAGTCGATTTAGGTATCTTGTACTGTTTCTTGAGGAATTGAGAGGCCTCAGGATCAGTCCTGTGACACAATATTCTCACTAGCGTCTTCGAATCGGCTCCTAGTTTGCTTCGGGTGCCCTGCATTTCCAGGCTACCAGCAGATTTCAAGTCCTCGATCAGTTCCCGAGTCTGTGAGATTGAAATAAATATAAAAAGTCAGATACCCTGGGTAAATGTACCTTGAAACGATTTCTAGGTGAGCTAATAAATATAGTCTTAATCTTTGGTAGCAGTCAAAAGCTCGTTACTAATCCTTTCTTTCTTTTCATGATCTTTCTTGACAAATTAAAAATTTCTCCTCAAAAAAAAAAAAAAAAAGGATAGGATAAATTCAGGGAATAAGTAGTCTCTCTTCCCTGAATCAAATAAAAGGCACAATGTTTTATTAAGTTGGTAAATAGAAGTAAATTCAAAACATGTTAATAAATTTGGACTTACCGGATTTATCCCATTACCACATTTGGTCAATCTCGAATTTATCCAAATTTACTCCATGAAATTTGATAAATCCAAGATTTACCGAATTTACTTCCATGAATCCCCAAATTTTACATATTTTTATATTTTTTTTAGTTCTTTAGTTAATCAACTTATGTTTAAACCTTACAATCTTCTTTAACAATTAAAAATTTAAGATTTTCCTTTCTTTCTTTTCTTTTTTTTTTTATTTAAAGAAAGTAAATAAGCTATTTACTACCATAAAGGTTTAAAACCAGACTGCTTTTTTTTTTTTTTTTTTCCGAACCAGTTTCGTATTCAGGGTAATCCCCAGCACCAGCAATGCAAGAGTGAGAAGCATGGTAGTTAATTGCTCATATAGACATTTTTCTTCCAGTAAAATTCAGTAAGGGTAAAAAACTCAACTCCCAAAGAATTTCTTTTTCCTTCAACTTTTGAGTATTTAAATGCAGTAAAGACAGGAAACTAACCTCATATCCATGCAACTTTACAACATGCCGGACACGTGCCACCTGGTTTTCGACGACTCCTCGAGGAAGACCATCTCCTCCAGAAATAAAAAACTCCTACGAAGTATGCTCACAATGAAGTCCATTTGATAAAAACTATGGGTCTTGCCAATTTTACAAAAATTTGGTACATTTTATACAAAGTTTGGAAAACATTGACAAGGTTTAACTGCAAGGATATTCGCCTTTTTAGTGGATTCCTTGTAACATGCGTGAGAGTGTCCACATCAGGGCAAAACGAAATTCAAACACGTCATTATTGAACAAATCACAAATTTACTTTCAACATTGTTGTCCATTCAAAGATCATACTGAAAATACCTTTAAGACCTCTAGATCTTCTTCAAAAAGTTTCTGGTCGCCTTTAGAGAAAAGTCTTAATGGGCCTCCATCCAATAGTACACGGAGTAAGCCATCCTAGGAAGAAAACACTTCAAACAACTTTAAAACTGAAACTTTTCTGATTATATTTGTCTGAAGAAGCAAATTAGGGCACATACCAGTGCTGCTTGAAGGAGACTTGTCACTATGTGGTCACGAAGTGGCTCTACAATCATATTGCATAGTTGACTAAGTTCCTGACGACAAAAATATTACATAGTTGAATAAGTCCTTATAGTAGTTGTTGATAGAATATTTCAGTCTAGTTAAAATTTTGGAGAACAATGAATGCATACATTATACATAGACACACCAACTTAACAAAATGGAAACTTGGATTAGACAAACGTCTGTCGAGTTATTAAGCCAACAAAATCATGCTGAGATATGATGCCACAAGGTGTTCTTTTTACCCTGAATATCCACAGTTTACCCCATGCACTTTCCTTGTATTTAACGTAGACATACACAGGCTTACTGACTATTTTCTACTTGCTATCTTAGATTAAACAAAGAAATAATTAAACAAATATATAAATGCTCGAAAGTAATATGTGCTTTGAGCTCTCTATATCAGGGAAAACTCTAATTTGGAGCTGAAGAAAATCCCCAAGACGATTTATTTTTACCTAATGTTACTATTACATGTGCACGTAACTAAAATAAAAGGGGCAATTCCAGGGCAAACTTGCTGCGCTTTGTCTTGAAAATCAACAGAGAGAAAGAAGACTAACATGGAAGAAACAAACATCCCACACGCAATATAGGAGGTAAGGGACAAAACCACACAGCACATGCAACCAGTATTAGAAATGGAAGGAAAATAAAAAATTTGGAAACAATCCCTCAAACAACTCTAACAATATTACAACAAACTCTTTTGTGCTTAGAAAAAAGTCAATAATAATAAAAAAAAATCAAACCGTATCAAGTGGTTCGATTACTGCTTCGAACCGAGATTGGGAAACACTGGGTTTATATAAATTGTTGATGAATGGCTCCCTTAAATCCCAAAAGACAATTTTAGTTCCTGCAACATATAGTTGGCAAATAATCAGCGACTAAATTTGTTTCTCAAAAAAGTAGACATCACAAGCAAGCGCAGACTGTTACCAGTGAACTCGCAGATACGATCAATAGCAGCATTTATATCTTTTCTACTCCCATCAAATGTACCATTCTGTGCAAAGCTTTTGGATTTCTCTATAAAAGAAAGCATTAAAAAGTTGTCCAGTGAGGTAGGGATAAAGCAAAAGAAAACATTATAAAGAATAACTGAACATACTTTCCCAGAATAACAAAAAATAACGAGGCTTGCAATTACTAATTATCAATAACAGAACAATTCATTAGTTTCATTTGCTTTTTATACGGAAGATTAAGAAATTCTTACTGCGGCAACATGTCATATAGATTGAATAATATGAAGGTATACACCTTAAATTAATGAAATGGATAGGTACTAAGGAACCAAAAAAAAAACAAAAAAAAAAACCGAAGATACTTACTTACAAACTTCTCGCTGGGCTTTTTCCTTGTCCATCTCTCCCAAATGCTATCTTCCAACTTATTCAGCTGACTAATTGCATACTGTGGGTAACACAATTTTCAGAGTGGTTTCTACTTTTACAATGAAAAGAAGAGTGAAAAAAAATAAATAAATAAAATAATAATAATAATAATAATAATAATAATAGTTATTAATAATAATAATAAAACAGAGTAGCTTTATATCTATGCAGCTAAAGTTTTAGTTATACAATTAATGCAATAAGACGGAGAGGTTTTTATGATTCAGTTTCTCTTAAACTGTCATGTACTTAGGAATCAGGGGCTTAATTTTTTGTTTCGTTAAGACGCTAAACCCTGCTCCACCTTGAAGTTTCTTCAAGGTGCATGGTACCAATGTGTGGAGAATGCCGTAATGTTGAATAGGCAGAATGTTGTGTAACATGATGAGCATGCAGCGTAAATGTACATTTCCAAAAGAAGAAAAAAAAAAGAGGGGAAAAAAAAAGAGAAGAAAAAATCTACTTCCGCAAACTCTCTATGTAGCCACCAAATCCTTACTTTCATTGACAACAGATGTCTAAAGAGATTAAGAAGACCAGTTTGAGATTAAAATAGACTCTCTAACATCTAGGCAGAATAAAATGATTTCACTGGGTTGACTGCTAAAATTCCCTTTTTTTTTTTTTTAAGTATAATGTCCACAAGAAGAAAATCTTAGCATAAAAAAAAAAAAAAAAAAAAAAAAAAAACCTAATCGTATAAAACCTTAGTGACAAAAATTATTCTCTTTACCCAAACAAAAACGAAACTAAGAATCCGATATTTATATATTAGCTTGAACTCACATAGAGTGTGTTTGACTGAATGCAAAGTGTTGGAGTTGTTAGGACATTAATTTCAATTGACTTTCTCTCATCAGGCAATCTAGGGTCAAATAGTTCCTTCTTTACAAAAGCCTTGATTCCAGAATCCTTCCGGTATCGTGTGAGAATTGGCACAGGAGGAATCAAATCTTCCTTGCTAGCTGCATAACAAGAATAACTCTTCAGTGTCAATGGGGATAGAAAAGTGGTATATGATAAAAAAGATAGAAAGATTTGATCAACCAGTCACAAACGATTTGATCAACCACAGACCATGCAAAAAAGTAAATCCAAATGTCAACAAAAGAGAAAAAAAAAATAGAAACCAAAACTGTTGAGAAATCAGCCCCTGATTTCAAAGACAGAAAGGAGCGACAAGCGCCAATATTTGGTAAACATTAGTGAAACTGTGAAAGTTAAACAAAAGAATGTTTGTTGCAGGCAAAGTGTAATAACTGAAGCACATTAACTTGGAGGCAAATTACTAAAGCAAGCAGAAATTATAAACGAATGAGCTAATAATTCCTCCATAGGATGTCCTCACCCAACTTGTCGACAACATGATTTGCATAAACTTGAAATGCATTGTCGATGCCACGAAATAAGCTGCTCAGTTCAGAAGATCGCATTGGAACTTTAAGAGCAAAAAATTGATCAACAGTCTGCAGTAGAACATATACAGAACAAAAAGACATAGGATTTAATCAATAATCTGTTAAACAATACCAGAGGCACAATACGATACATACATAAATATAACAGCAATAGTTGCTTCCAAAAATTACAAGAATCTAAAAGCTTCCAAAATCTCTAATATTCAAGGAAGTTAAAAGTCCTATTTGCTTGAATACTTGCCAAACTTATCAAATGATCCATTTTGTTAAGGTCTGACCTTCAGTCAAATTTTAACCTTGTCTAGCATCACTATTTGTTAGTTGTCATCGGAAAATATTCCCCAATAAGACAATATTCCTCATTTTATAAGAGTAAGATGAGATATAAGTTCTACATATCTACCACGTGCAAAAAAAAAAAAAAAAAAAAAAATCATATGCAAAAGGAGATGGTTTGCACTTGATCTAATTGGTGAAGCTTGGGTTCTAATCAGTTGCTTTAAATTGAAGTATGATCTACAAAGAGAAAATTGAAGTTTGAAGACAGATACAAATTACTATTTCAGATCAAATATTTTGCTCCTAAATAAGTTTTTTTAATAGATGTGTTTGAACAGAGTTTTAAATACGGGAACATCAAAATGCCTGGGTAATCATGGCCACTAGCCATAAAATATAATTTCAATTTCGTCTAAGGAATTTCCGTTTCTTGCTTTTTGCCTTTGTCCCTGGGGTTATGGGTTTCTCTCATGAATTGACATACACGTAGTATTGCCAAGAGGGATATATAATAGGCAGAATGACAGTTAATTTCTATGTTCTACACGTAATAAGACTTCTCTAAACCATAACTAATTAAAAATGTTTACTATAAACGATTCTAACCAGTATCAGTTTAGCAATTTGCTTTTTAGTACATATAATGCCTTCCTATGATAATTAATGCCAGCACGACCAATAATCATACCAAGAAAGAATATGATACTAAAAGAGTCGGATCTTATAAATTGTTATTTACTATTAAGAGTTAAAATTTAGTGCTTTTCTGCCTCCTCATAGGTTTAGCTTTTGGGAGAAAGCGTAAACTGATATTCATATTGTACCTCCTCGACAATCCTGTATACTTCAACAATTGAACTTCCATGCCTTTGTTGAGGCGATATTGGGTCCCACCGCTGTTCAAAACCATATAAAACAAATAAATGGTGAGAAGAGTTTCCACAAACAGTTATTCTCTAAAAAAAAAAACACAAAAAAAAGGAAAAAAGACAACTATTGCCTCATGTACAGAAAGATTTTTTTTTTAAAAAAAAAAAAAACACCCTAACGAGAGAGCCTAAAGAAAACCATCCCCAATTCAACAAAAGAAAAAATATCTTACTAGAGCCCAAACGCCCAAATTTCTCCAAAAATCATACACAATGCTTACAGGGCACCCACTTAAGACCTGGCTCAGTGAATCTGGCCACCTCATAATTCATACCATTAACAGCATAACACAAGAAGAATACTGTCAGTTTTACCTCCTGTGCAATTGCCCGTTCAACCCAACCTAAGATTCTTCCAAGCTGCGAATTTACCCAACGCAATACCAAAGTTCCAGACACAGATTCAATCTGAAAAAAAGGGCTTACAGTAAAGAGTATCATACACTATACGCATAAATGAAAGTTAATTGTAACATTATTGCCTTAAAGACAGATCCATTCTCAAAGTATGGATATTTAGAGTTTTTCAAGATCAGACAAGCGGATAAATAATAAGTAAAACACGGCCAACAAACTTTATACATGCACCAACAAGTGCACACATATTTCAGACTAGCGTGATTACTTAAAATGATTGTAGTATATGATAGAAATTATGCAAAGCAAGCCCATTTCAACATAAATAAGAGTATCATGCTGGACTTTAGAACACCTTGGCCCTTGGTGATAATCATGGACACAACCTCTTTGACTTTATTTAAATCGGCAGGGTGCATTGTCATGTTTCTTTTTGTTTTGTTTTGTTGTTTTCTTTAAATCTTTCTGCAGTTGCTTTCCTTTTTCGTAAGAGGATTCCTTATCCTCCTTTTGAACTTCTTTTTGAAAATCCATATTACTATATTTTCTTGCTTCTTATGAAAAAAATAAACATAAAAAAACACCATTAAAATATCCTGATAAAGATTGAAAGAGACCGTTTATTTGAAACCCCAAAAAGAAATATCTAGGGAAAATCCAAATATTACTTGATAAAGAGACAATCTCTTGCACAAGGCCGCTGCAGTTTCCTCTTGACATGCAGACGTAATAAGTGCAATGATATACTGCTCAAGGCTATCAGCTGCTGGAAATACAGACACTGCATCCTCGGTCAGATGTTCAGCACCATCGAGAAAAGGTTTCTGAGAAAGCATTTCAATCAAGATGCTATAATTCTAACCAAGGTAAAATGGACATATCAAAAGAAATGTGAATTGATCAGAAATTGAAATACACTAACCAACTTATTTCCATACAGCCTGTGGAGAAGCGAAGCTGATACAAAAGTTGCTTGTGGATTCCGTTGAGATAATATTGGCATAAACATGGTCGAATCTTTTTCCATAAGTTTTTTGCTCTCTTCTGCAAGCAATGCCAAAGGATGCTCATGCCTTGTGTCTAACTTATCCGGGGGGAAGAAGAAGATATTCATGCCTGTAGCCGCTGTGTGATGAAGAAGATTCAGCTTCAGTAGGCTTAGTTTAATCACAGAAGTCGCTATTTAATAATCTAGCCTGAGATTAAGCCATGGCTAGGCCACGTATCACTATATTTTCTGTGTTACTGACAAAAGCTTTTTGCTAACAAAAAGGAGCTTAAGAACCCCCTTTTTTTTTTTTGGATTGGCATGCTTTATGGTCTTTTCTTTTTTCATTTTATCTTTAAGGACCGCATGTCCTTTACGTATTCCCTTTTTATTTTCTTAATCAAACTTTAAGTGCACACACACATATCTTCATATATTCTTTTTTCCAAACAACGGTAACAAACATTTTTTAACTGCCTAACATGGACAAACATCATTTTTCCGATTTCTTCTAAAAGCTCCTCATAAAAAGACCTAAATAAGAATAAGTAGAATGTGTGTTTGCTCTCAATCTTCAGCAAGTAGAGGAAATCAAAACAACTCCCAAATATTATGCTCTCTTTTCTCTGTCCTCTCGTAGAAGCAGCAAGTAAGAATAAGAGAATATGTGTTTGCTCTCAATAGCAGGTAAAGGAACCAAGTTATCAGTTTGACTTTGTTCATATAATGCCAACTCAACCCAACTACTTTGAAGGAAAGGAAAGATAAAAACTGAATCCATCCAACTGGTGTTCACCCCAATGAACCGTGAAAACAAATCCCAAACACCATGCTCTCTCTCGCAAAAAAGAAAACCCTCGGCCATATGTATAAATTATAGTCCCTCCCCACCAAAAAAAAAAAAAAAAAAAAAAAAAGTCTAGGCATTTATGCAGCAAAAGCATCATGTCAAGAATTTTACCCATTCCATTAGCCAGAAAAATCCACAAGAATTCTTGATCAACTATAATTCTTACCCTTGCAAACGCATTCTTAATTGATGATGATATATATGATTCTATCTGATCTTTGTCTGCAATGGATGTAGACTGCGTCACTGCCTGTTTGGAACATGAAAATTGTGACTTCAAACCTTTTCCAGGATGTAAGACTTTTACATTGCAATGCTAAAGAAAATTCTAAAGAAAAAAAGCACTTTCTGACCAGCATAAAAATTTATCAGCAGAAGACGCTGAAAATCTTGAGAAAGCTACATTAACTGTAAAGTTTTAATAAATATGTTTAGCACTTAAATATGGTTTTTCCAAGTGTTTTAGTCATAGCAATGTTAATTGTTTTTACTCAAAGTGAAGTTTTTCAACATTTTTGGAGCCCAAATCTTATAACCTGCCTAAGGTAAGTCTAAATTAAGGTTTTTAGCGAATTTTTAACTGGTTTGAAACTAGAATATGATGTTTTTAAGTTGTTGTTCAATTTGACAAATTTGTGATATGTTTATGTTCTTGAAAATAGGTGTTTTGATGTTTCTTGAGAGAAAATGGTAAAAATGAAGAAATTGAAGATAGAGGTTGATTTGGTTGATGTTTCTACAATATGGAAGTCTGAAATACGTATTAGGGGCAGAATGAATGAAGTTTGCATTGTTTTTATGCATTTTATCGAGCTGCGTGCAAGGTGTTTCTGAAAATGTTTGACTAAAATTTCTAAAATTTCAGCAACAAGTTCGGAATTTGGGATGGGGATTCAAAGGGGTTTTCTTGTAACTCTTTCTATCAATCTTTGACGAAAAATCAAACGGTCCTGTTTTTGATTTAAATCAATTTGGAAAAATTGTGCCCCTTATAGAGTTAAGGTGTTTGCCTGGTTATTTTTTCATAGAAAGTTGAACACTTGTGATTTAGTGCAGAGAAAACGCCCTCATATAGCTTTGTCTCCTAGTTGGTGTATCATGTATAGGGTTAATTATGAAACGGTAGATCATCTATTCATCCATTGGGATCGGCTCGGAAATTGTGGTGGAAAGTTATGGGAGCAGCTGCTGCGCATTGGCCTTTCCCTTTTTGAAGTAATTCTATCCTGGTAGCGTTTTTCGGCTTTGGAAGAGATAAAAATGCCAAAACGATTTGGAGAGCTTTGATTTTAGCTGCTCTATAGGGCATCTGGTTGGAGAGAAATCAGAAAGCTTTTGAGGATAAGGAGATGTCATTGAAAGACTTGTTTGAAAAGGCAAAATTTCTAGCGTCCCTGTGGTCATCAACAGATTCTTCATTTAAAAATTTTCCCATTATCTTTGATTATGTTAAGTTGGGAAGACATTCTCAATATGATGGGATCATAGGATATGTTGTTTCTGTTTTGATTTTAAACTTTATTCGTTGATTTAATTTCCTTTCCTTTCTTCTTCGATGGAATCCTCTTCCACCCTAAGGCTTCTATTTTAATTATATTTACAAATGTTCCGCTTCCTCGGCTTCTAGCTCACTTTAAAAATTTTTATGATACAAGTGATGAGGATAATTATGTCAGAACCGCAAAAAGGCATGCCGAAACTCTTTTTGAAAACTGATGAATGAAGTTCACTTGCATACTAAGCTAAAGTTGAGGTAAGAAAACACTAGTTTATGAACTTTTTATGGGCTTTACAATAGGATTGTTATGCATAAAGACAGTTCCAGATAAGTCTAAAATGCTTGTAAATACTAGTTCTTCACATTTGTTAAACCGAACCATGATGAGGAGTTTGTAAATATTTTACGCTAATGTCTTATCATACAGCCATCTTAGCTTACTGTGTTTTTCCGATTATGAGATTTTAGTACTGCACAGCTTAGTGGCATTTTCTAGTTAAGTTCATTTGAAAGCTAAGCTAGTTTGGGGATGTTAAATTAACTGCTCTAATTACAAGTACAAAAAGTTGAAAAATTGTTCATAGGAGCATATGACATACTATTTCAGGTTCTTCCACAAGTAGCCTCCGAGAAATCATCGCAACTGCTACTATATTCTCCATCATTACCGAATCCTACAAGATATTAAGAAGTACATGACTGACCCGCATAACTAAAAATAACTATTCACATATAAAAACAAAAAAGAAGTGACCAAAGGCACAACAGTTTGTTATCCCAAGACATCCTGATCAACATAGAGAGAGAATAAAAAACAATGCTAGTGTCACTATTTACAGTTACAAAATTGGGAATCGGCAGAGTTCTTCTATCCTTCTGTTTCGAATTTTTATTTTCTTTTTTTAGGGTAATATACCAGAAAGAAACAATTCCATCATTTACCAGACATAGAAAGAAACTACAGAATCCATCAGTCGAGTAGAATCTGGTAAGGCTTATTATTTTCGAGCAGACAGATTTATTTTAATCTAATTTAAGTTTCGCATGGAAAGAAAAAGCAAGTAGAGATTACGGATTGCAGAACAAAATTTAGCATTATGATGACAAAGAAATTAAAATAAACTTATCAAATCCGAATGCTTGCAGTGATTACCTCAGCAAAGTGGAGATGGTAGTCTCCTAAATGTTTATCAGCCCATTTCTGAATGGGTGCTAAAAAGGAATTTAAGAAAGTAACATCTTGAGATCCCATTTCACCTTCAATTTTAGTACGCAAGCTTTTCAAGTGCAACCTTTCTTGTGGGCCTCGCTGTTCCTTCAGTGGTATTCTCTTCAATTGCTCAATTGCATGTTGTAGAATTCCTTGGTCACTTGTGATAACATACTGTAATCATTAAACCAATTACCACGAATAAAAGGAGATATACACATATATATGGAGTAATTTACTTAAAAAGCTTCCTTAATAACACAGTAATAAGTATATAATTGAAAAAGATCCAAGATCATCAAAAAGACACAATTTCTGTGATTTTAGTTACGATATCTCCTCCTTTGGATGCACTTGCAATCACTAATATCTAAATTCTGGTAAATATAACAGAAACAAGAAAACTTTGTAACCAACAACTTTGAAATCATATTTATGCAATTTAAGCCCTAATTTTTTATCAATAAAAAATGGAGTTCTTTTTTTTGAAAAAAAAAAAAGCAAAACAAAAACAAAAACAAAGGGCAAGAAATCCTCAAATAGAACGAAAAAACAGAAAAAAACCATGAAAAGCTGCATCACAGAGCGGCTATCAACTGTAGAAAGCAACCACAAATAGAAAGTCAAACAAAGAAAATAAGTCCTGAAAAAAAAAAAAAAAAACGCTATAAAGAAGTATAAAGAAATGCATCACACATTTTGTGAACCACAAGTGTCCCTGTATTTGAATGTGTGTGCTTGTATGTGAGAGAAAGAAAGGCAGACAGATAGTTGGCGTTTACTCCGTGTGTGTGTGAATTGTGAATATGTTTGTTATTTGTAATCCCCCGCATGCACGTGTGTAGAAGAGGCAACTATCTTGGATTCCGAACCATTATATTCACACAAAAGATAGTGATCTCCTACAGTAAATGATTACTGGACCAATAAAAATTCTAGTCCAACCAGAACTTCACCTGACGGAATAGCACCCATGCATAACAGGTGCAATGGATGGTCTCTGTGATTCCTAAAACACGCCAGGTTGACTTGAAAAGCTCAAGCATTTCTTCTACTTCCTGGAACAAATAAGGAAAAGGTTTTAGATGGTTTCAACTTATTTACAACTTTTCCAGTTACCAAAAAAAAAAAGTTATTTAATTAGCATTTATATGAGGTATAACAGAAACTCTCCTGCATCTAGAAAGCTTTTAGTCCAACTTAAGAAGCACCGGAACAACATGACGGAACAATCTGACTTGATAATATTAAGGAACCTAAGATTCAAAAGAATTCACAGTATTCAAGTTCGACTCTTAACGTATCTTGGCCAAGAACAAGAGTACTAACCTCTGTGAGCTTTCCCTCATCCAATACATCAAAGACACTGAGAAGCAGTTTCTCATACAGCCTAACGTTTAGGTGATAACCATCTGCCCAGTGGCATACTTCCCCAGTTAAATCACCTCTTGAAGGTCTTTCAGCCAGGGGAATGGCGCTCTCTCTGAGAGCTCTTAAGCATTCTGTCCGCTGGAGTTCACCCGTGGAAGAAGGAAGAAACTGTAATCAAATAAACAAGAAAGAGAGACAGAGAGGGAAAAGTAAATCAACAAGATTTTCATAAGATAATATTTACAAAAGAAACATACTAACGGAGAGTATACTGAGGCTGAAAGGAGTTACTATGTGATTGTGGCTGGACCAAAATCCTCAAACATGTGACATTAATAGTGTTTTCTACTTCTTCTTCTTTATTTATTTTTTATTTTTTATTTTTTTTATTTTTGGTTCTTTCTTCCAATTAGGGTACAGCCTTCAGATCAAGGACAGGACACACCAAGTACTTCTTCTATTAAGGGACAAGAATAAAGATGTAGTAAACGGTGCAGCCATATGAATAATGAGTGAGCTTCAGGCAACATGCCAGTTCAGAAATTGTAGACAAACATAAGAGGAAAAACAGATTCCATGATTCTACTCAATGTGCAATGTCACTGTCTTCATCTTATTTGGGATGAATAGCAACCCAAATAGTAACAACCATCAAGTGGATTCAAGCAATGCAAGATAACATACTTGAACCCTAGTCGATACATTAGTTGTCCCAACAAAGTGGCCTGAAATAAATCTCAAGGATTTGGGCACAAGCAAAAGAAATTCAACAAAGAACACTTTCTCAGGGACAGCAGGATTCATCCAAGCTTCTCTTAGATTATGGCTTGGAAGCAATATTCAAAGCTACCAAATGATATGTGGACAAATCTAGACTGATTAGGACCTATTTATGGTAATTTCTTAGGTCAAAGGAATATGCTAGGTTTATGCCTATTGTATTAGGAAAGGATTATTCTTCTTTATTCTTTCCTTTTCTAATATGTTTTCAGAGCCTTTTTATGGCCGGTTGTACTTCATTCCAAATTATAAGAGAATAAGAAATAAAGCAGTGTTTTCCGTTCACTGTTTTCTACCCGTGTGTGTTCACATGATATCTATGACCATTCTTATAGTCCATATACTTTAATCATCCTTTACAACCTCTTGACAATCACAACTGGCTTTGAAAGTGTCAATAGGACAACGAACGTCCAAAGGCAAGTTACAATTTGCATTCATGACAGGCAACATTGAAAACCATGTAGCAGTGAAACTCACTTCGGATTCCTCAATTTTTGCCAAAAGAATCCTCAACTCATTTGCCTTGCGTCCAGATTCCCCAAAACCAACAACAGGGTGATTAATAAGCCCCTCCTCCAGGATGTTTAGCTGCAACAAAATAGGAAACTCTTAATTTGGAACATTAGATACATCTCCAATCCAATACCAGAATAAAGATACTTAATTTGCAAAGAAAACAGAAAGTGAGCTTAATTTACCTGCCTTTTTTGCCAACGTATATAGGCTTTCTTGTCAGAAAATTCTGAGCGTGAAATACAACACAATAGCTCAAGAGGGACAAGTAGGGCATCCATTCTCTTCCCCACTTTCCCTGAAAGAGCATTAAGAAGCCCTTGTCTTGTCCTGATGTCCATAGCCTCAGATATCTACACTTATAAAATTAAAATAAAATTAAAATAAAATAAAATAAAAACAATAAGAACATTAGTCTTGTCCTGATGTCCATAGCCTCAGATATCTACACTTATAAAATTAAAATAAAATAAAATAAAAACAATAAGAACATTAAACAACAACAACAACAACAACAACAACAACAACAACAATAATAATAATAATAATAATAAAACCATGAGTATGGAGGCAAACATATTATTTACATGAAATATCCCACTGACGTGAACAAAACCAAAATTTTAACATCTGGTTCCAGCAAACGAATAATCATTGAGTCCTCTTTCCGGACAACACATACAAAGACAAAGAGACCCGCCAATAGTTAAGTAATTAGTGAACCTATGAGAGATGTTGACTTAGTTTTTTTATCTTCTATTTCTATCTAACATCTAACTATTTTCTTTAGTTATTCACTAGAGCAATTATGATCTGGAAGTGATTTAAAAGTAGAAAATAAATATATGAGAAACATACCTTCCATTGATAAAAGAACAAGATAAAATGATTTTTTATATAAGAAAACACCTTTATTGATAATTATCAATAGCGGTTACAAGAGGATAAAGTATCCTCAAAATACAAGGAAAGCTGAACAAATCAAAAATTCAATCAGATAAAACTAAGGATGCATCTTCCTACCACATCTTTCCAATTCAAAACAATCAAAGAAAACGAAAAACCCTTAAAAACTGTGTGATGAAGCCCATAAAGAAGCTGAAAATTTGGCTTTCTAAAAAATATCAGCAATATCCAAAGCCTTCTCCTAAAAAATTTTCACATTTCTTTCCAGCCACAAGGTCCACATTATAAAAAATACCAAACTTTTCCACACTTTTGTCATCTTGTTGAAACCCAAACCCGACAAACTTTCCATCAGCACCAAAGTGCAGTGTGCTGGAGTAAGCCAGAAAAAACCAGCCTCAAGTAAGAGTTCTCACCAAACCGATCTAGCCACCGTACAATCTAACAATAGGTGGTTGATGGTTTCTTCATCACCCCTGCAAAGAATGCACCAGGATGGAGAAAGGGAAATGTGGGGGTTTTTCCTCTGGACCGCATCACAAGTATTAAGCTTACAACGCGCAACCAGCCAAGTGAAAACTTTAATTCTATGGGGGACTACATCACAAAATGCCACCATCTAACCAGGTCTGAATTGAAAATTATTAAAACTTTATCCTCCTGCAATCACACTCCAATCCATAACTACGCCTTTCCCAAAGCTGGGTGACATTGCCTTCTACATCTTCAAAAATCATCTTATTCCTTTCTAATCAAATTGCCCAACACAATACAATGATAGGAGTATTAAAAGTGTTTCTCCCTCTCTTATGGAAAACAAATAGGATAAGAGGAGACAAGAAAATCATCACATGAATAGAATAGTCTTTGAAATCTTTTAAAGAAACCGCAGGGGCATCTAGTGCCCGTTTGGTTTTAGGACTTGCAACCATGACTCTGATTCTGCTCTCTCACAAAAAATTTGAAATAAAATTAAATTCATAACCAAAATCACTGACTTGAACGCGTGAACCAAACAAGCTACTAGTTTTATAAATCCTCCCACTTCTCTCAAGGCATAACACCCATACTATATGCCCTTACCCCAATCATTCCATAAGTCCTTAATCTATGTTTTGGCAACTGAAACCCCAATCGCAAACAAGTCTTCAAGACATTTTGAAACCACCCATAAAAGATTTAACTCCCACTGAAACACCCTTATTGATCACAGTTGACCACTTGCATAATGTTGATTCGTGTGCGGCAGTAGTTTTAGAATTCAAATTATTGATTTACTACATTATTGTATCGTTTGATCTTTCTTTTTTTTTTTTGTGAGGAAACTGTTGGATCGTGTGCATGAATAATTATTGATTTGTCTAAATGTAGTTTAAATCCAACTTCATCTGTTGAAAAAAAAAAATCCAATTTTCATATTCAATTGAAAAAAAAAAAACATTTTTTGAATATTCCAGACGAACATACATGTTACTTTTTTTGTGAAACAAGAAACTATATATTAACAATATTACTAGATGAAATACACACGCACATCCAATCACACAATCTATCAGAGGAAGCATTCAAAAAGAAGAACCCATGATAAAAGTTAACCTTAAAGGGAAACGTAAAAGAACTTGAGCCCTAAGACCACCTTCAATGAAAATATCAAATTTAGCACCAAAACAAAAACAAAACAAAAAAAAACCAAGGTGCTATGTTTGGCACAATCATTCATTTCATGTTCCATTGCATTAGTGCCATATTTTAAATGCCAATATCACATTTTCCTCACAATTTTAAAATGATATTGTAATTATTTTTGGGATGTGTGCAAAAATGACCTTTTTGAGATATGTTTTAGTAAATGGCCGAAGTGTTGTAAAATTAGGTAAATGACTGTTTATCAGTGATAAACTATGGTAAATAAATGACAAACCAGTTTATCAGTGATTGACTTGGTGGCATATCACTGATTGACCAATATCAATCAGTGATTCGCCAACTTCAACCAATAATTTACCAGTTCATTATTGTAAACCATTGGTAAATTGGTGATAAACCGTTTACCAATGATACACCATGATATATTAATGATTAACCACTGTAAAATAAGGACATTTACCTAAAAAAAGTTTGGCCATTAATTTAAAAGGAGTAGCCAAAATCGGCAATCCACCTAATTTTCCTTTATTTTTTGACTACCAAGCATTAATGCCCTTCTTGTCAGCATTAATCAAAATCTAAAAATGGTAGCTTTGTAATTACTTTTGAAAAGTAAACCAGATAATCCCAAATGCGAAGCCCAAATATAGCACAACAACCAGATCTGCATTGGGGAAGAGCTTTTGTGCCCAAATAACTTTTCGCATTAGCACATTAATTTGGCACTGCATTAGAGATGCTATAAGATGCATGCAAATGAAACTAAAGGCTTTCTTATACCTCCATCTGGACACGCATGGTCTCTAGCAAACCAACCAATCCAGGCGCTCGTTGAGACTGACTCACAATGCTTTCAGTTCTACTACGTCCAAGCGTACGCATTAGCTTGTACCTCTTATCTTTCTTTTTCTCCTTTGCAGGTACAATGAGTCCCCTGTTTACATAGTTGAAAAGGAATTTACAATGCAGAAAGCAAAGGATAAAACAAACAAAAATTGTTTGTATACATGGATTAATTGCATGGCTTTCTAGGAAACATAAATGTAGGAAATCTGGGAATTATTTGTTCGTGTTTATCTGAATTAAGTTTGAAGTTTGATTTATTTCTTTATTTGTTAGTTAGGATAAGGAAGATCTCCACCAGGATATTTACTTTTTTTTTTATAAGAAACAAAATTTCATTAATAAATCAAGAACTTTACAAATGAAGTTTTTGGACAGATGACGAATCCATCCAGGGGAAATAAAAAGCAAATACAAGAACAAAACAAAATTAAATTAAAATGAGGAGAAAAAACAGCCAAAAAACTCAACAAGAATATTGATTAAACACCTCCCAAGCAGAGCCACAACCATTAACCTTACACCAGCCTTACACTAAAATATCCTCCCAACTTAATATTTACTATATTTCAGGTGATAGCTTTTTTGTTCTTAAATAAAAGATTTGGTTAGTATTCAATTCTATAAAATGTCATGTATTTTTCCTTGGTTGGTAATCAATGAAATTCAGCAGTACTCTTTCCATTCCTTCCTATGCATGTTTTTATGGTATCTAAAGATTTTTAGAGGAAATGATTTCTTATTTTCTTAATTTGGTTTACAGTGAAGGCTCTCTTTAATAGAGAGAACAAAAAATACAAAAATGGTAATTTTTTATTACCACGTTTATTCTCCTAGAAACTACCAAAAATACTACAAAGAAATTAGGAAATAAACATTAAAGTCAAAATACTAAATTGAGACACAAAATCCATGGGAATCATTCGGATATCCCCATGGAATCACACGGATTTCCTACACTCCCCCTCAAGCTGGTGAATATATGTTGATCATTCCCAGCTTGTCTACTAGAGCTTCAAAACTTTGTCTTGATAATCCTTTGGTCAGAACATCCGCAACTTGTTGAGACGAAGGCACATACGAAAGTTCTACTACTCCCTCATCAATCGTCTCCTTAATAAAGTGTCTGTCAATTTCCACATGCTTAGTGCGATCATGGTGAACAGGATTATGAGCTATACACAAGGCTGCTTGACTGTCACAGTAGACTCTTAGAGGAGTCTTGTGTTCGGCTTGCAATTCTTCCAGAACTCTTCTGATCCAAATTGTCTCGCAAATTCCATGTGCTAGTGCTCATAGCCAGAAGTTGACCGCTTATCTTCGATTGAACCTGCCCAATCAGCATCTGTAAAAGCTTCAATCTACCTTTGATTAGTTTTTCCAAAGAACAGACCTTTCCCTCGTGTCATTTTGAGGTATCTTAGAATCCGATACATGGCAGCTAGGTGTTCTTCATAAGGAGAATGCAAATACTGACTCACAACACTTACTGCAAATGCTATGTCGGGCCTGGTGTGGGATAGATAGATTAGTCTCCCTACTACCCTTTGATATCTCCCCCTATCTACTGGATCTCCCAACTCCTTCTTCACTTTACCATTCACTTCCACGGGGTTCTCAAATGGTCTACTACCAATCACACCAGTTTCCTTCAAGAGATCAATCGTATACTTTCTTTGGGAAATCAAAATACCTTTTCTTGTACGAGCAACTTCCATTCCTAGAAAGTATCTCAGTTGCCCCAAATCTTTGACTTCAAATTCTCTAGCCAACACTTTCTTCAAGTCTAACGGTTCTTCAAGGTTATCCCCAGTTAAGATAATATCATCCACATATACTATCAAAATCGAGACCTTACCATCTGAGTGTTTGTAGAACAATGTGTGATAAGCCTGTCCCTAAGTGAAACCAAAATTCCTGACTATCTTAGTGAAATGATCGAACCATGCTCGAGGAGATTGCTTAAATCCATAGAGTGACTTCAACAATATGCACACTTTATTGCCTCTAAGTTCCCCTTCAAACCCAGGCGGTAAATCCATATATACTTCTTCTTCAAGTGTAACATTAAGGAATGCATTTTTTACATCCATCTGGTGTAGAGGCCAGTCTAGATTAGTTGCCAACGAGAGTAGTATTCTGATTGTGTTAAGTTTAGCCACTGGGGCAAATGTCTCATTATAATCCACTCCAAAGGTTTGTGTAAAACCTTTAGCTACTAACCGAGCTTTATATCTTTCCGCTGACCCATCTGAGTTGTATTTTACTGTGAAGACCCATTTACAACCCACTGGGCATTTTCCTTTGGGTAGATCTACAATCGCCCACGTACCATTCTTTTTCAAAGCTTCCATTTCTTCCAAAAACTGCCTTCCTCCACTGTGGCTTTTCAAGTGCCTCATGTATACTTCTAGGAACCTCCTCAGCAAAAACTTCTCGATCACAGCTTGGAAAGCAGGTGACAACCTCAGGTGGTACGGCTTCTCCTGTCAAGTAGTCCAACCGTCCTTTTCCATCAATCACACTAGAAAGTATCTCAGTTGCCCCAAATCTTTGACTTCAAATTCTCTAGCCAACACTTTCTTCAAGTCTGACGGTTCTTCAAGGTTATCCCCAGTTAAGATAATATCATCCACATATACTATCAAAATCGAGACCTTACCATCTGAGTGTTTGTAGAACAATGTGTGATAAGCCTGTCCCTAAGTGAAACCAAAATTCCTGACTATCTTAGTGAAATGATCGAACCATGCTCGAGGAGATTGCTTAAATCCATAGAGTGACTTCAACAATATGCACACTTTATTGCCTCTAAGTTCCCCTTCAAACCCAGGCGGTAAATCCATATATACTTCTTCTTCAAGTGTAACATTAAGGAATGCATTTTTTACATCCATCTGGTGTAGAGGCCAGTCTAGATTAGTTGCCAACGAGAGTAGTATTCTGATTGTGTTAAGTTTAGCCACTGGGGCAAATGTCTCATTATAATCCACTCCAAAGGTTTGTGTAAAACCTTTAGCTACTAACCGAGCTTTATATCTTTCCGCTGACCCATCTGAGTTGTATTTTACTGTGAAGACCCATTTACAACCCACTGGGCATTTTCCTTTGGGTAGATCTACAATCGCCCACGTACCATTCTTTTTCAAAGCTTCCATTTCTTCCAAAAACTGCCTTCCTCCACTGTGGCTTTTCAAGTGCCTCATGTATACTTCTAGGAACCTCCTCAGCAAAAACTTCTCGATCACAGCTTGGAAAGCAGGTGACAACCTCAGGTGGTACGGCTTCTCCTGTCAAGTAGTCCAACCGTCCTTTTCCATCAATCACAAGGACAACCAACTGAGACCATTCTACATAATTCGCACCATTCAACTTATGTTGTGTAATCTGCAGTGAATGGTTGTCGTTAATGTTGTGGATGATTTGTTGGGGTGTGGCTGTAGTTGTCGTCGAGGTTTGCCCGCTTGTGGCGTCGGAGGCAACTTCCCGAGAGGCCCCAGTTATGGCCCCAGTCATGGCGGTTTTCGCCATTAGAAAGAGCAAGGGAAAACTCAGTCCTGCTCTGATACCATAAAGATTTTCTGAGGAAATGATTTCTTATTTTCTTGATTTGGTTTACAGTGAAGGCTCTCTTTAAATAGAGAGAACAAAAAATACAAATATGGTAATTTCTTATTACCACGTTTATTCTCCTAGAAACTACCAAAAATACTACAAAGAAATTAGGAAATAAACATATAGTCAAAATACTAAATTGAGACACAAAATCCATGGGAATCATTCGGATATCCCCATGGAATCACACGGATTTCCTACAGTATCAATGTAGGTAGCTAGTTGAGGGAAACGATGTATGAAAAGGCCATGACAGGGGCAAGTAAGGGCGATGGCTTGGAAGTCACAATCGAAACTTCTCAGTCGACTCCTATAATTGCTACTGCTGCAATTCCTGATCATTCATCCCCACAAATAACATCTGACAAACTCAACTGCAAGAATTTTTTATAACAGACCAGATCAGTTCTGATGGTGATCCGTGGACGAGGGAAAATGGGCTACATCAATGCACAACAAAAAAACGTAAGCAGGAGGACCCAACATTTCAGACCTGGGATGCACGTAACTCAATTGTTATGGCATGGCTTCTAAATTCAATGGAAGACGCAATTGGAGAGACCTTTATGTACTATTCAACAATGAAAGATCAGGGGGATGCTGCTAGTCTTGCGTTTTCTAACCTTGAAAGTGTTTAAGGAATGAGGCTCGTAATGATCCCGTCTCAAATTTCCTATTTTAAAATAGAATTTTTCAACTTCCTAGCAACTTTGACTTCATCCTTATTGGCTATTGCCCTTTCTTCCTTCTACAAAATTTGGTGAAGAATTGATTTTGAGTGGCTCCTCTCTTCCTGTAACGCCTCCGACCAGTTGGAACTCTAGTTTGGTAACATAAATCCTTTCGAGAATCCTCTAATTCTTATTTTGGCATACAGGAGAAATGTTTGGTTTAAGGTCTCTCTAGCAATTTCAAACAAACCTCTACAGGAATCTCCAATGATTTTTAATACGTGGTAATTCCACAAATTAAGAGGCAGCCCTTCTGTTCCAATTCAATTGTTCCCTGCCTCAATTTTAATTATGCCCATCATCAGAAAGAAAACTTGCTTGGAATGATTTTTTTTTATTTACTGCTCCATTTTAAATCTTTGTAAGCTTCGTGAAATTGTCGACCTGTTTTTTCTACATTCAAGGATTAATCTGTAACTCTGCTATGTGAAGAATCTTCTGAGCTCTCCTTCTTTTCCATGGACCAAAGCCTCCTTCACCAACTTGCGAAGCCATGACGCCCCCCACATTTCAATGTTCACATTAAAGTTTATTGTTCTGTTTCTCTTGGTAATAATAATGGACCGATCAGACTATCTAATTTACAACTGTCACATCTCCTGGATGCAGAAAAATTAGATTTAACTCCTTAAGGAGTTCAAGCATGACAAGCAACTTTAGAATGGAAAATGTCTATAACTCTAACAATTTGGTGAAAACGTACCCTGAAGCACCAGCACATGCGAGCAGGATTTCATATGCAGTTTCACGGAGGTCATCGTCTGTGATACCTAAAAGCAATGAAGCACAAAGATCATAGTATTATCTATCCCATACAAGTTTATGTCACAATTTACCCTAACATTAAAGCTCAAATATTGAAAAAAGAAAATATCATTGTGGAATCTAAATCTTCAAGTCAAAGGTTATGTGGTAGATATTTCTAGAAGGATACCATATGCATTAAAGAATATTATATATATATATGTTAGACGAGGAACTATTAGGTAGATCAGCTATCATAAAAATGTTTGTTGATTTATTGTAACAAGGTTCCTGAGTTGAAGGGATCCTAGTCATTTCTATATTTGCATGTATATAAAGTACTCTAGCGTCACATAATAAGAAATTTGGCATTTCCTTCACTTCCAACAGTTATTTTCTTGTGCATGCTGAAATTAGAACCAAACACATGCTAGAGCTTCACCAAAACAAGTTTGCCCCCTGTGTAACTGTGCATACACCAGAGGGCCATTACAAATAAGTTTTGGTAACTAACCGGTCAAGTTACAAGCATGGATAGTTTAGATACGGCTCTAGGGAGTGACATAAAGCATGGATATCTTATTCAAAAGCTATAAGGCATTATTAGGTTCATGTGGTTAGAAGACCTAAAAATCATTCCAAAGCTTAGATGAATTATGTTTGTATATAATTTGACATTTACATGGTCATTTAACTAGATTAGGAGATATTTAAGATACCTGTCACAAAAGACGGCAATTTCACAGCAATATCAGTGGCATCATTTCGATTTCTTCGTGACATCCTGATATTAATAACTTCTTCAATATTATCATCATCATCAAAATCTTCAATGTCATCTACAGTTAGTTCCTGAACTTGTGTGGAGTTGAAAGATTCTGATTTAGAAACATTGGACACAGCAGGCAATGAAGCAACGTCCGCAATTGGAGTGAGATCTGAAGTTGGTGAGAGAATAGGGGGTGGAGTGTAAACGGGAGGTGGTGTGAAATCCGGCAGGGGGGGGTTGAAAGATTCTGATTTAGAAACATTGGACACAGCAGGCAATGAAGCAACATCCGCAATTGGAGTGAGATCTGAAGTTGGTGAGAGAATAGGGGGTGGAGTGTAAACGGGAGGTGGTGTGAAATCCGGCAGGGGGGGTGGTGCCCTTTTAGGAGGAGAACCCGAAACCTTAGGATCCGTAACCAAAAAAAACTCACCAACAGAACCTGTATTATTCTGGTCGAGTTTGAAGGAAGAAATCCAAAAATGACCAGAACAAACAATATGAACAACTGACTGGTAGAAACCCAATAAAATAAAAAATAAAAATAAAAATTCTTAACGAGCAGAAGCTGAACAATTAAAAGTTTTTTTTTTCTTTAATATGACTGAAACTTCATTGAATATAATTGAAAGCTACAACCAGACTAATCTAAGAACAAGGTGTGCTCAAAGCAGCCAAAGAGAAAAGAACAAAACGAACCCAGAAAAAAATCGGATACAATCAGTGTCCCACAACAACTTTCCAATTGGATCAAAGACACTGGATAATACCGATAATGTTTTACATATCGTGGCTCAAAGAGATGCTAGATATTTGACCCCTTGAAACATGAATAAAAGATAATTAAAGGTAATTACGCGAAAGAAACTATCGCAATTAATCTTTCCAGTTCAAAGGATCAAAATTCTAAAGTTAACAACAATTGAAAACACACACAAATATATATATATGGACGACTTTTCAATGGTTACGTCTCCATCGATAGTAACCCATTAAATGTAAAATTTGATGACGTAGTGTGATAAGAATCTAATTTCATTAATTATAATAATTTTTTTTGGTCAATTACTAAATTTATTACAACCATAAGATCAATATCTTACGGCTAAAACAATAATATCCATCAATAGGTAAATATTGGAGTAACCATTAAAATATATATATATATATTATCAGACACAGGTCATGATGCCAAAAAATACGTAGCTTACCATTTGGGGTAAACCAATACTGTCATGATAATCTCGAATAGCCTCTGCGAGTTCAAGCATTCCACCTAAAGTTGAAAACACAAACAAATACATTATACACACACACACATATCATCAAATGAGTTCGACGGAAAAGAATTACAACTTAGAATCATGAAAAGAAGCATGGTAATGATTTCCACCTTTCTTAGCACAATTGAGGACAAAATCAACACTGACTTGGTCAAGATCCACATCGTCTAGCGTAACCGCGCCAGGAGGCATTACAACCTTCTTTATTAGACTACCAGAGAGTATAAAATCAAGAAGTATTCGCCTGTCTCGCCGATACCTCTGTAGTAGCTCCAAAGAACTTTCCCTGCATTTTTCACCAAATACATCACTCTTTTATCTTTCTTTCAGACAAAAAAAAAAATCAAAACAGAAGAAAGAGAAACATACTCGTCCATCTCCGAGAGACCGCAAAGAATCTATCGCTACAAGATGAGAAAAAAAATCCAGAAATTCACTCATTAATAAAAAAACACATCAATTAAGCTAATTATGCAACACGTAGTTTCCAATTTAATCGAATTCGAATAGCGGGATCTGTTTGCTTGGAAAGAAAATGGAATACAAGAAAATGGAGAAATGAAAATTAGATTGAAGCTAAAATTATAGATTCTCGGGATATCTGTTTTTGTTTCAAAGAATTTTAGGAAACAAAAATGGAATTCAAAATTCGCATGTCCGGTAATTACCTCAGATTTCTTGGGAACCAAACAGAAGATGTAATCTCAAAAGCGAGCTCATTAAAGAAAAGAAAGAAAGAATCAGAAGAAATGAAAGTCAATTTGAAGCAAACAAGAGCAAAAGGGTGGGAGTTCAAAGGAGAATGTAGAGTGAAAAATATGAGGGATTTGTTTGGTTAAACAACTCAAAACAGTGGAAACCTTTTTATCTAGAATTTGAGGGGTCGTTTTCTTGCAACAAAACTTAAAAAAAATTTAAACTCAAGTTATAATTTTATTTAAGTTCACGTTCTTTTAAATTTTAATTTTATTTAATTTTATTCAAGTTACAACTTTAACTCAAATTCAACTCAAAAACTACACTCAAGTTACACTCTAAAAGAATAACCCCTTAGGATTTGAATTGTTGTGTTTTTAATTGTGATTTAAATCGGTATTTAGAAATATAAATAAATTATAAATTGAAAATAAAATTTAAACTGCGTTTAAATAAAGTGTTAAAAATTATCATTAGAGTTCTGTAACAAATTTTATAAAACTTCATTATAAATTATATTAAAAAATAGCAATATAGGTGAGGATTTGTTTCTCTTTTCGTTATAAACACATTAAAAAAACCACCTCAATTGGAATTAAAACAAAGAGGTTATAAGACTTCGTTCATTTCACCGATTCGAGTTTTCAGTTCTAAATTTCTACAGTTAAAAGCTCTCAGAAAATGTCACATCTAACTTTTTTGCTACAGTTAAAAGCTCTCAGAAAATGTTACATCTCAACTCGAATCCGCGAAGTGAACTAGGATATTTTTAAGATTGAAATTGAAGGGAGAGAAAAAGTGAAATCTGAAACTGTTAAACTATTGACAACAATTTGAATTGTTTGAATTTAGGAGATGGTGAATTCTAAAAATCAAACATTTGACCATTATTAATGATTTAAATTGTCTTTTAATTTTTTTTTTTCTCAAACACTAATTTAAATCATAACTAACAATTTGAATCTTAACTAACAATTGAGTTGTTGAAACAAACAAGACAGAAGATGAATGGCAAGTCCGACCTTTGTAAGATTTGGATCTGGATCCAAATCCCTCTCCTCACTACTTTTTAATAATTTAGGTCCATTAAATAAATAATTTTTTTTTGTTTTTTTGAGTAATTAACGCCATTGGTCTCTAACCTTTTAAAAGGTGATAACTTAAACCCTATTCTTTTAATTTTGATAAAACCGTCCCTAAACTCTTTATATTAAATTCTATTCTTAAACCCTATTCTTTTAAAGGTTGGCAATAAAAACCCTGTTCTTTTAAATGTTGGCAGAACCTTTATGTTAAATTCTATTTATTTACATAATTAATTTTGAACCACTTTCAAAATATAATAGAATGGATGGTCAATTTCCTTAACAACATTCGTTAATGGTCAATCATTTTTTTGAATTAACATAATTAACTTTATATTAGAACATGTTAACTTTATACTAGGTAAAGTCTTAAATCCGGCATTGGTACAATCCAAAAACTGTACTTTTTTTATTCGCATATAAACATAATTCATATGTATGTGTAATATTTAATTTATTTAAATGGAATACTCAATATTGCATGTGTTTAATTACATCCACTTAAATAGGCGAGTATTATACACAAGAAAGAACGATGTTACACGATAAAACACCCAAATTATGGCAAGCAGATGTTCCAAGGACGAGAAAACACCCAAATTATGATCTAAATCGAGTATTTTACTCGAAAATGTTGACTATACGCAGTATTAGGTGCACCATACAGTAGCACGCTTTAAAGTTATAAAGGCAAAGAAATATGCGCACAATTCAAGGGTAAAAAGTAGAATAAGATATTACGGTCCGTTTATTTCACTGATTTGAGTTTAGAATTCGAGTTTTGCTACAATAAAAAACTCTCATAAACAGTCATATCTAATTTTTTACTACAGTAAAAAATTCTCACATAAAATCACATCTCAACTTGAATTAAAAAAACGGACCCTGCACCTTTCTCTCATCAACATACAAGTTCCGAAGATTGTGTAGCAATTACTTTATGTTAAAACTTTACATCTATATAATTGTTGAGTTTAACCACTAATACCACCAGTGTAATCACTAATCACTCCATATATGCCTACATTCAAACTCCATAATCCCACTCAATTAAAAAAAAAAAAAAAGCAAAACAAGAAAACAAAAAACAAAAACAAAAAAAGAAGAGGAAGAAGTGAGAGGAAACTAGTGGCAACTACAAGTACAGCTCATAAATCGCAACAATTTTTCACAGAGATAACTCAATAGAAATGGTGAACACTAACAACAATGAAGAAAACCTTTTGGCCTGCTTGATGAATCCTAAATCTCAACTATCGCGGCTTGGTAGAGTGGGAATAAGCCAAGTGAAGAAGCCGACGCTAGTTTCTCCGTTCAATAATTGCGACGAGTATTCGACTAGCATATTCCAGAGATCCCCCACAGTCCACTCGTGCGACAGAATCCATTCAGTTACCTACTCCATGTAAAAAAATTAAAAAATAAAAAAAAATTAAAAAATTAAAAATTAAAAAAATTTTAAAAATGTATTTATTAAAATAAAATAAAAAAAACATGTGCACAGAAGGCAGGTTGGAGGATGGTGTGAAAACAAGTTTTGTCGAATTCAGTGGAAGTTAGCAAAAATAATACAAGAAATAAGACTCTGAAGCTAGGGGGAGAAGCAATGGCAGTGGAGAAGAAATTTTGAACATAAAAATTTCATGTATATATTCTTAAGATAATTAGTGGGACATTTCTATTTTGGGAAACATGGAAAATACCATTGAAAACTAGTTGCGAGACATATTGCAGGAATGATAATATATAAGAAGCTTTTAGCCATGGCAAGTAAACGCAGTACCAGATCTATGTTTCGCAATGCACGCTCACCAAATGTGTAGTAGGAAACAAATGGTCTTAGTGCCTGAAAAACAAAGGTATCCACTTGTAAGAAAGATATGCTGAAAAGAACCAAGGCGGTCCAGATCTGTTGGCTATGAATCTGCCATCAGTATGCAAATCCCCCAATCGGTAGAAATGCATGCTGATTCAACATGATGTAAGGCTACCTGAGAAGCTGCAAGCCATTGAATTATGGTCTTGAGCTCGGGATCTCCGCCAAAAGCACCACATCCCCAATTTCCCGTCGCAATCCCCATGTTGTCTTCATTGACCAGAGACTGACAACCCTTCTGCTGAGAATCTTTCATTGCTCGGTTTACAAATTCTCCCCCATATGCTTCCACGAGAGGTGAGTTAGCTTCATTCACCTGCTAAGCAAAAGGCCAAATTTAAGTCGATCCAAAAAAAATATTAACAGAAGGAAGCAAACCAAGTAATTACCCCATTCTATTGTAGTTTGGACGTGCTATGATAGACAAAGAATAAAAAGGAAGAAAGAAGAAAATAAAATCGTACCCCATGACTATTCCTTTTTGTGCAATCAGGGTCTTTACCATCTTGGTCATGCTGATTTTCAGAAAGACCATTCTTTAGAAACAGTCTCTCGTATTGGTGATATTTGGATTGATCAATAAAGCCACAGAATGCCTTATTAGTCTCCCTGTAGAAAACAACGTGCTCGAAACATTAAAATTTCTCATCATTAAAAAGAAGGAAGAAGAAGAAGAAGAGATAACCAAAGCTACATTAAAGTAGAGTCATCCAACATAAGCAAAGCTAGACAAACAATTTCTATAGAAACACTAGTATTCGCTAAATCTAGACATACAACTGTGACAGAGAGAAGGCGGAGTTACAAGTATTTGACTTGTTCAAACTTGGCTTTAATAGTTTGAAATTAAAACTTATTTCAGATACTTGAGATCAATCTACCTTGCGAATTTGGGGGAAAAGGCAAAGGTTAGGTTTTTTTTCTCTAAGGACGTGATCGACAAACTTTTGATCCTTTTCGGTTATTTAAATATATTAGCAAAATTTATACTCAGTTTGACGTGAAATGTTAAAACTCCATGTTAAGGCCAGGTGTTATAACATAAAAGGATGAATAAAGGAACCTGACGTGCCATTTCACCTTCCCTTGCTAGTGAACAAGGAGGTCCAGTTTATATTCAACAATTGAAACTTTACATTCATAAATGGACCATGCCCTAGTTTATCTGAAGAATTAATACAGGTCATAATGAGGTCATAATACTTTCACAAACAAACTCATTTACAAAAACTAATAATATCAGATAGTAGATTTTCTGTTGAACACCAAATATGTGCAAGTGGTGTGCTGCATGCCAAAATTTACATACCGGATGAGGCTTTTCATTCTGTATTGTCTCATCCCTGGGCAGCATAATGCATCAATTGCAATGATTCTGGTTTTACGTCTTCCAAGAGAGTCCATTTCCTTCTTGTCCACATAGTCACCAGAAAAGCGGAATGAAGAAGCATATCTACACTTAAGAGAGATTGGATCAGATTGCAAAGAAAAGAGGTGTAAAAAAGTTAAAATGATTTGTTTTTAGAATCTAATTTAAATAATTAAATGCTTGGAGTTAGCAGAATTTACTATATATAGCTCCAGAATAACAGACACAATAACTAATTCTTTCTACGTCTTAATATGCAGACCAACACTTAAAGGACTTTTGAGTTTTGACACAGGGCAGTAATGCTCACCCTGTATATTTTGAAAACCTTTCTGCACCAACAACTTCTATGGACTCATTATCTGCTAAGGCAGGTAAGAAAAGCATTCCAGCAATTAATTCGGGATTAACCATAAAACGAATCTCCTCCTACATGAGATTGTAGTAAAAACAGTTTCAGATCGCAACTAAATCATGGTCTTCTCATAAATCATGCAAAAGCGTCTTCACGATTCATGAAATTAAAACAAGCAATTCTCCAAAGCTTACTAGGCATGTAACGAGGCCCTGCAAGAAAGGAAATTAGAACTTTTTAGTATGTCTATGAAGCAGACCTGTACACAGCCCCTGTGAAGAGCACCACCTCCTAGATATTTATTTGCAAAATCCACTTCAAGAGCCCCCTTTGATTGATCTTCTATTAAGCCTGAACTGTGAGCCTGCAAAAATGTGAAAGTGCTAAGTTACGAAATCATATATGCTGACATTAAGACATTTTATGATGATTTCAACTAAATATGATTACTCTGCTTGTTATTATTACAACACATTCGATCTGTTTCATTTTTTTCTTCTCTTTTTATTACCTCAAATTGGCACAAAGGAACTGTAGAAGTGCCCCAAAACTTAGCATCTGGATATGAAATGCATAAAGGGCGATGCCCCAAAGCAAGAACCTTTCGCTCAAATGACACAGAGCCCATAGGGATATTTGCACATATCCGTTCAAAATAGTGTATAATACAGTTTATCTTACTCTCCTGATTTTGATTGTGACTTCCATATAAACTCCTGCAGTGCCACCAAAGTTAAATGGCATGAGAAGAAATACAATAAATTGAAACATGTCGGACGTATAAATTATTGCAGACAATAACCTGAGTTGGGAAAGACAAGCATAAAAACTATATATATACATACACTAAAAGTTACAAAATAGCTTTTAAATACTTACCGCTACCCTTTTAACATTGATATTTTATAACACTCAGAAAAAGTATGAACACTTAGGTCACAGAAAATTAGACTGGAATCCCTCAAGCAAAACTCATTACTTTCCATATGAATAATGTCGATTTCCACAAGATATGTCCATATGCATATACTGTTCCACGACTCCCACAATTGTCACTTTTCAAAAGAGTAAATATTTTCTCCATATTGACAAATTTTATTTAACTAATTACATATTATCTTATTTAAAAATAAAATGTTATATAACCAGCCACTCCATGGCAGAAAAAACTAATATTCTCAGTGATCGAAAATTCTCAATTGTTGAATGTTATTACCACAAGATGTAACCCACCCCTTTATTTGAACTTTCATGTCTATTAATGTAATACAAGATTGAAATTAGTTGTATACTCACAACCCCTCAAAAGAGGGTTAAGGTCACATACGCGAAGAGATGATCAAAGTTGATTGTTGGAAGATGTTTGTCACCTCTGGTAGCAAGTGGGAACAAACAAAAGAAAGAGCATCCTAGAAGAGCACCAACCAATTCCTGAGAAGCCAGTCAGACATTTGTAAGTCTGATTACTTTTTTTTTTTTTTTTGCTAATGATCAGTCTAATTACATTAATATAACAGAAAAACGCAGAAACAGATAAAGATGGCTATTTTGCATAAACTAATGTGCAAATTAGGATAGAGTAGAACTAATTGATTCCACCACACACAACACCTATTCCTCCTATTGTAAGAGATTGGGACACAAAACAGACTTCCACATAATAGTCTTGGAAAGGGCCCAATTTTTAGCGTCTCAGGTGTTCTTGTTTCTTTATGGTAAAGAGTGAAGTTCATTGCATTTTTATGGGCTTCCACTTCTGTGGAGTTGACATATGTTCCTTTTTATTGCTTTACTTTTTTTTATTTATAATTTTATATATATGTATGTATTTATTTATTTATTTATTTATTTGAGGATAACTAATCCCCCTACTTGTTATTGTCCCTTTTCTTTGCTTATTATTAACAAATATTGTATGTTTCTTATTTGAAAATTAAAAATTAAAAAAAAAAATTTGTTTTGCCTTGTGTGGCCATAAAGTATTTATTTATTTATTTATTTATTTGAGGATAACTAATCCCCCTACTTGTTATTGTCCCTTTTCTTTGCTTATTATTAACAAATATTGTATGTTTCTTATTTGAAAATTAAAAATTAAAAAAAAAAATTTGTTTTGCCTTGTGTGGCCATAAAATTGTCCAAGGGGCAAAAATCTGGCAGGTAAAAACATATAAAATGACAAGCCTATGGTTGACGGCACTTTAGCTTCTATTAACAGCTTCTTGGGAAAACGATATTAATATTGGTTGAAAATTTGATTCATGAACTCCATTAACTAGAGAACCAAGCACGTGATTAAGAAGAATCTTGCAAAAAGCAATGAACTAAATCGCGATTAAAGCATTATCTGCTTTATCGAATAGGTGCCATATAAATCAACGTTTTTTTTATTATTACTGAGACATTACATTCACAAAATCAACAGTGCCAACAAAAATATATAGTAAATGCATGATCTAAACTCATCTTCAATCTAGCAGGCCCATCACCTCTGCTATGGCCCTATGGGTTAAAAATTGATACGATTCAAAATTGCATATATGAGTCATGATTTTCGGCCTTCCATATAAGCATGTAACAGAAACAATTAAGATGATTGAACCCAAATAAATATCTAGATAAGCAAACACAAATTTAGTTCTTTAACCTGAGAATTGAAGTATAAACGGATACCTGGTTGAGGAGCACCACACCGTCTTCTTGCGAATTCAGAAGGCAAAGACCAGTTTTGGCTACAACTCCTCCTCGATTGATGAAGCCGTCTGCATTTTGATAGTGGGTTTCTAACAAAGAAGGAAACCGCAATACTAAATTTGCCAACATGGGAAAAACCTGTTCAAACCATTTCTTGGATTTCTCTTTTGACATTAACTGCACAAAAGTTTGCTTTCAGATACAAGGATGTTCAACAAATTTATTATTCAAACGAAATACAGATAAACTCTCAACGTTTATGCTGACTTTGTTCCTTGGCTTTGACACATTACTTTAATTAACTACAACAAACTCAAAGGTGGGTTTTTAGATTGTTGGAGAAATAAAGATGTTCAATGATATACAAATCAATTCTCCACATTTATGCTGTGTTTGATTCTTGAGTTAAACTACACAATACTGGGTATTTCAGCTTCAGATTGTTGGAAAAGTAAGTAATGTCCATGCTGGAAATCATCCATGATAATGATCCAATTCAACAGTTTATATATATACACATTGAAAATAAAATTAAAAATATATATATTTTCTTTCATTTCTTTGATTGTTTGGAATTGGAAGCATGTTATAGGGGGCTAACTGGAATGTATTTTTGAGGGGTTTTGTTCTGAGACCTATTTTCATTTCTTTGCTTTCCAATTCGGGCAATATGCTAGAATGACTATCCAACAAAGTGAAATTAGCAAAATGACCTTCTTCTATTTTTTATGAAGAAAGACACTTACTCATTCTTTGTAAAAAGATGTCATTTTGCAAATAAAAATTTTTTGAAAAGTTATTTTACTAATAAAACTTTTTAAAAGAGTTATTTTTACAAATGCCCTGTTTTTTCGGACTTCTGAGGACTCTTGTTCTCTTTGTACTTGATACCATTATAAATTAAAGGAAGCTTTCATATATACACACATATATATATATATATAAACATACATACATATAGAGTTATAAACACGTCAATACATCATCTATAACGTACATGCACAATGTTCATAATCATAAATATAAACAAATATGACAATTGTTTGAGGAATTGGGAAACGAAATGTATGAAGAATTGGAAGTTGGAATCTGATTACCTCGTCGAAGAAGAGGGCGTAACCTTGGGGAGCGAAAGGAGCGAAGGGTTCGGAAGAGACGGAAAGAGCGTGTCTGAGGTTGGAAATGGCGGCGAATAGAAGCTCTCCGGAGAGAACCCGGCTCCGGTCGGGTCCTACGGCGAGCGACTTGAGTATTTCAACGACTTGCGAGGGCCAGAAGAGACGCGACGACCGAAGTACGACCGGTAAATAAGGTAATATTGATTTCAGATCTTCTCTCTCTTCCATTCTCTCTCTCCCTCTCTCTCTCTGTGTTTTCCCTGGAATTTTTTTCCAGACTTTGCTTGTTATGTTGCCCATCTCGGCTTTTTTTTTTTTTTTTTTTTTTGAAAATTTGGTTACAAATTTGCTAGAATTTTAATCCGTACAAATCGGTAAAATGGCCTTTTTATTTACAAGTCGTTTCTTGACCAGCCAAAAAAAGGGTCGTTTCTGATTGTTCCAACATTTTACAAATAATACAAATTTCCGGAAGTTCTTTTCTTAATAAAACCTTCTTGTTAAGTAAGTCTTGAGTTTAGAATTTAAAAGGGTCGTTTCTGATTGTTCCAACATTTTACAAATAATACAAATTTCGGGAAGTTCTTTTCTTAATAAAACCTTCTTGTTAAGTAGGTCTTGAGTTTAGAATTCAAATTTTATTACAATAAAAAGCTCTCAAAAATAGTCATATTTAATTTTTTTACTACAGTAAAAAGTTCTCACATAAAATTACATCTCAACTCAAATTAAAAACTCGAATCAACGAACTAAACGAGCCTATAATTTTAACAAATGATGGCCCCAAACCTTTGAACATCATGAACGGTTGAATTTCGCGTGACAAATAAACTCTCATGACCACTTTACCACGAACCAAGCCACACGTATGAAATAGTAGTTAATGAGAAGGAAAATAAAAGAAAATGAAAGAACACACGAGAGTATAGGGTTTTCTCTTGGATGATTCATTATGAAAAATAAAATTGCAAAAGAGCACAAGAGCTTTAGGCCAAAGAATTGGACTTAGGGATGATTCATTATGAAAAATAAAATTGCAAAGGAGCACAAGTTTAACCATTATTTGAAATAAAATTTTAAGGCCACCATAGAAAATAACCTGAAGGTTACGAAAAATAACCTTACAAATTATGAAAAGATAACATGTAAGTTACGAAAGATAAATCTGCTGATTACGAAAAATAACTTTTAGATTATGAAAAGATAACATATAGGTTATTAATGGCATAAGATAAATTTACAATAGTGATATAAATAAAATAATGTTACTTTAATAATAACATTTTTAATTTTGTTAAATGAGAGAATTATTATAATATATGAGAAAATTATAGAATTAGATATTATTAATTTTCAAGTATTTAAGTCAATAATTTTTGTATTTTCGATGCAAAACAACTTGTGAAATAGAAATTGATGTCTTGGGCGTAGGTATAAAAGTATATAAAAGGCCTTACAAATATGTTACCAACTTCATTGAAAAATGACATTTTTTACTTAAATTTTCTTTTTACGGTTAGTAAAAAGATTTTTTTCACGTAAATTATTTTCTACCAATTATAAATAAATTATTTACATGATAAACTGTTTTTTACTTCAAATAATTTTAAAATTTGCAAGTTACTTAATTTTAAGATATATTCTTTCATGTGACGTATAAGAACCACAAACCTTGCAATGATATTGGTTTTTTGCTGGTTAAATTTCTCTGCAAAGAAGGGGCATACTTGAAATCATTTTTCAGTTGTAACATTTCTGGAAACTTGACCTTTGAAAGAATATATCTTAATGTCGAATAAACTATCCAATGGCGAATAAACTTGCATGATACGCGTCACGGCCACGTAAGAGCCAATGCCACAGCTGAACCTGAAATTCAAAGGAATTTTGAAGCATCGAGATCAAGGCACAAGCAAAAAATGATAAAAGATGGTGGCCGAAAAGAGAACCAACTCTCCACTGCATGGTGACGCTATAGGCAATCCATTTCTTACTTTTCCTTTCATGGCCAAGTCCGTCATTGCTCTTGCGATGCTCCTGAAAAGGCTACGGGGCAGATTGCGGCGTTTGAAAACGGCATTGACACTTGCCAATTCCATTGAATAATCAGGCAGCTGTTGAAAAATAACATGATAGCTCAATATTTGGAATACAAGAAAAAAAAAAAACATATTTAGGTTTTGCCAAATCTTTTTAGATAGATATGCACAAATACAAGACGATTGAAAAAAAAAAAAAAAAAAAAAAAAAAGAAGCATTCAGCAACTGAGCTTATCAAGAATGCGCAACCTGCAAAAAATACAAGCACACATAGATAGACATATACAGATACGCATACACAAATATATACATATATGAACACGGGATTGGAAATATAGCACACCCAATTCCATCACAATAGAGCTTTTGTTCTGTGACCAGCAACAGCAGTCCCCAACAGTGTGCTCTGTTTTTTTTTTTTTTTTTTCCTCCAGAGAGTGCATCTTTGAAAATACCTAATATGGTTCCGACACACAAGTACAAACCAAAGAGGTGTAAATATCCAGTACTCATCAAATAACATAAGATTGTTGAGAACCGAATGGAAGGGATCCCAGATGTATATTGATTTCATCAATAAACAAATCCATTCAAAACAATGAAATTCACGGTACATTCAAATGTAAAAGTAGGAATATAATGGTGTTTACCCCCAGTGTTCAACTTTAACCTTGGTTCTCACTATGCATGGTTGAATAAAAAAGGAAAGATGAGAATTGCGCATAAGACGTGTCGCTCATACAAAAGAACAGGCAGATTTGAGTTTGGTTATTATTAGGTTTATTGCAACTATAAATAGACTTACTATTTGTGTTTTATTGATGATTGTTACTGAATATACAGATTTCCTCTCTATTGTACTCTATTCTCTCTAAATCCTTATTCTTTTTCCCTAAATTCCTACTGCACCCACTGGGAAAAAGGAATGATAGACCTTCTCTTCTTCTCTATCTCTTTCTCTCTCTGTCTTTAATCTATCTATTCTTTTTCCCTAAATTCCTACTGCACCCACTGGGAAAAAGGAATGATAAACCTTCTCTTCTTCTCTATCTCTTTCTCTCTCTGTCTTTAATCTGGTCATGCCTTATTCTTATTCAGCAAAAACTACATGTACATGCATAAATATAAAACTCCTGCTCAATTATGTGCCGCTTTCTATATTTAATTTTATCAAAGTAATGATCAAAGCATTGTTAGACTAGAACATAAAAGCAGGTCAAACTCGATCTTTGTACAGTCTAATATTCTTGAAAACAGATCAGGCCTAATCCTTCAAAAGTAAAATACAAATTAATTTGTAGCATTGTAGACAGTTCTTGATCTCACCTCATTGAGAATTATTGTAAGGACGCCTCAAGCCTATAAGCATGAATACTTTTCAAAACATCAAGTGTTACATCATTAGGGAGTAATCCTTTCCGGATCATGTCCTTGAGAAGCATGATCGCTGCATCTATTCTTTTGACCTTTACATAACCATTAGCTAAGGTGTTATATGAAATGGTATTAGGAAGGACACCCGTTACTACCATCTGATCAAAGATGTCTTTTCCTTTATCCACTTCACCTTGACGACAGTATCCCTTAATCAAGGTGTTGTGAGTTATTGTATTAACCTCTTTACCATGTTCAATCATCGACTCAAACAATTTTTGAGCTTTGTCCATCAAACCTTCATTGCACAGAGCATTCATAACTATGTTCAGAGTTACAATATTAGGAAAAAATGTCTTGCTCACCATAATATCAAACAATCTCTTAGCTTCTTCCGATTTACTTGAATGGTACAATCCATCATGCAAAGAGTTGTTGGCGATGGCAGCAAGAAATAAACCTTTCTCTATCATCACTTCCGCGAGATAAAGTGCCTCTGTGGTTCTCCCTTCCTTGCACTGAGCATCCAAGATACAATTGAATGTAGCAATATTTGGAGAGATTCCATAACTAGTCATGTTTTCTAAGAATTGTATCGCTTCTTTCCATCGACCACACTTGCACAAAGTAGAAATCAAAGAATTGAATGTCAAAACATCAGGCTGTATATCTTTTCTAAGCATCATTTCAAATAGTGAAATAGCTTCCTGAAATTTCTCTTCCTTGCAAAGAGAATGAATTACCGAGGTGTAGATACGTACATTAGGCGGGACACCACTATCAAGCATGTCAAGCAGCAATCTTTTGGCGTCCTCAGACCGACCCAGCCTGCTTAACCCATGAATCATATAAGTCAAAGCAACAACATTAGGCACAACACCAAGGTTGATCATATTTCGAAACAAGCTCAAGGCCTCGTCTATTCGTCCTTTCTTATAAAGACCCTTCAAGATTGGACTAAAACACTCTACAGTGGGTTTAACCCTCTTATCTCGGCGCATCCGCTTAAGCAGCTCGAGCGCCTTCCAAGTTTCTCCAACGTTACAGAGCCCATTAATCATAGTCGCGTAAGTGATTTCATTACACAAGTGTTCCTCCTCTACTATTCGATTAAACAAATCCATCGCCACGACCATCGAGCCTTCCTTGCAAAGCCCGTGAAGCAGAGTACTCATTGTACGAGCATCCGGCTTAAGGCCGGTTTTAATCATAGTTGCGAAAACACAGAAACCCAAGTTTACTTTGTCCAAACAACACAGACATTTGATAACAATACTCAAAGTACCGACCTCAGGGCTAAAATGATCACAACCCATTATCTCTCTATACACATAAACAACAGTTGAACAACGTTTCATGTTGGAAAGTGAGCCAAGCAATTGATTTAGAGCCCAAATAGAAGGCATGGGTCGCATTTGAATCATGGAATTGAAGTAACCCAGAGCTTCTTCTACTGTTAGGTTTCTAGATTTACACCGTGTTTGGATCAATTTCTCCAAATGGGCAACAGAATTTTCACCGCTATATACTCTAGAAGCGTAAGAACGAAAACGGGTTGTGAAAATTCCGAAGAGAGAAAGGAAAGAAGGATTACCAGGAGTTCGTTTCGTCAGACTTTTGGTTTTCATCTCCGACGTCAGAAGCGAATGTTGGTGATTTTGGCTGTTGAATTGGAGAGCTCCAAAGAGCTTCCGAATTCATGACAGTTTTGCATTTGGAGAACGAGATTCAAAGAAAATCGTTAGGTTAAAGTCGTTAAAGTTTAGCCTCAAATCTCATTTTAATCCTTAAATTAGTAGTTCTTAAAATTTTATTCTATTAATTTAATGTTAAATATGTAATGAAATTTATAAATATTATAGACTTTAAATTAAAAACATTAAAGGCTAAAACAATATAAAATAATTAAGACGACCTAAAATTTTAACTGTTTTTAATTTTAGATTCTAATTTATACGGATTGTATTAAATTTTAACATCTAGTTGATATAATGACTAAAATTAACCAATTAAAACTTTAGAGATTATCAGTGTGACATATGAAAACTCAATGACTAAAATATGATTAAGTGTAAACTTTAGAGACCATTTGTGGAGTTGACCCAAAATCCTTCTAAGTAAATAGTAAATTTTAAAACCATTTGAAGTAAATAACAGTTTACCGTGTAAATAATATTAGAAAAATTATTTTGTCACATAAATTTTATGTTTACAACTAATAAAAAGATATTTTTCCATGTAACTAAAAAAACATTACTATGTAAATTATATTTTACCAATAGTAAATGGATAATTTACGTATTAAACTGTTATTTACTTTAAATAATTTTAAATTATGCTATTTACTTTTTTCGTTAAGTAAAATATGTTATTTGCTACAATTTTTCTATTATCATTTTTTCCCAATTTTTCTTTACTTATTTTATCTTTTCTTTTTGCTTCTTCTCTTTTTTTTTTGACGATTTGTATAATCGTTGTTTTAAACCATCATGCACGCAAAACGCGCAATTTTGACTAGTTATTATTTTTTTATTATATAAAAAAGTGAGAATAAAAAATTTAAGATTAATTACAAAAATTCTCCTTAAATTATGTTTTTTTTGTAATATTTTATTCTCTGATCTTTAAAAGAGGGCTCAAACCCTTAGGGTCATTACCTACATTTATTTTTCACATCTATTGTGGTACTACTTAAACTCTACTTGCAATATACGTAGTGAGTAATCTGTGTGTTAAGTTTTAATTACTATGTCATTATTAAAAACATATAAAATAAGAATATAAAATCCAAAATAGAAAAAAGTATTAGAAAAAAAGGGGGTTAAAACATGACTAAGATGAAGAAATAAATAAGTTTTAGGGCAAAAGGAATCAAATGAAAAAAATAAATAAATCTATAAGACAAAAAATAATTAAAAAAAGAGGTAAAAATGACCAAAATGAAGAAATAGATAAGTATTAAGGCAAAAGAAACCAAAACGAAAAAAAAAATAAAGGGTGCATTTAGAACTCATTCTAAAATGATTTTGTTATCTGTATGAAAATGGAAATGAAAATGTTTTCAATCTCAGACAGAAATCATTTTTGAAAATGCATTTGGTAGTTTTATTATGAGATTGTTTTCGATATAAGAAAAAACAGGAATGTCATTTGGTAATTCATTTATACTGATTCTAAAACTTTTCTTATTAAATCTTTCTTTGTTCCCCATGGGAACCTTCTGGATTGTTTTCGATATAAGAAAAAACAGGAATGTCATTTGGTAATTCATTTCTACTGATTCTAAAACTTTTCTTATTAAATCTTTCTTTGTTCCCCATGGGAACCTTCTCGTGTTATATTCCTAATTTCCACTTCTTTCCCTCTCCACATAACATTCTTTCACCCAAAAAAAAAATCCCTGCGTACTCTTCTCCTTCAATGGATTTCTTCAAGTCCATCTTTTCTCCTTCAATGGATTTCTTCAATCCATCTTTTCTCCTTTAATGGATTTCTTCAAGTCCGTCTTCACCGACGAACCCTTGGAGCCTTCTGACTCTGACCCGCCTACCGCAAGGATCTCGATGAGTTTGGATCCGACATGAGGATGGAGACGGCGGTGATCAGCGACGCCTCCTCATGCGCCGTCAAGGACCTCCCGGTGTCACTCGAGATCGGCACCACCGTCACTCAGGAGTCACTCGAATCGGTCAGCCAAGCGATCGACGACATCAGAAGCTCCGTTTGGAAATCGGCGGCCGAGATCATTTCTCAAGGCATGCATTCACTTTTGGCCGCCGTCAATGAAGACTTTGACGCTTTTGGCCAGCCGAGACAACTTGTTACGAACAGTGTTAATCATGAGAAAAAGGTTTAGATTTGGTGAGGTTCGAGCAAATAGTGAGGAGAAAATGAAAACGGGAAAAGGAAAACGACTCAAATTCGTTTTCAGAAATTGCGTGATTTTGTGAGAAAGGTCAAAAACGTTTTCAGTTTATTTTTGGTTGAAGATTGCTCCAAACGCAATTCTCAGATGATTTCTATTTTTTCTCATCGAAAAACGGGAAAAACGTTTTCAGAATGGATTCCAAACAGACAAGAAATTTCATGACAAAACAAAAAAAAAAGTAAAAAAGATGACCAAAATGAAGAAATAAATAGTTTTGGGTAAAAGGAAAGAAATAAATAGTTTTAGAACAAAAAAGAACCAAAACGAAAAAATAAAATTTCCAGGGTAAAAATAAATAAAATATTAAAAAATGACCAGAATGAAGAAATGAATAGATTTTAGAACAATAAGAACCAAAATAAAAAAATAAAATAAAATTTGAAGACAAAAAAAGGTCAAAAAAAGACCGAGGATGTTTGGTAGAGGGATTCGTTCCCTGATTCGAATCATGATTCATGGTTCGCTACAGTATTTTTTCTCATAAAAAATTCACGTAAATCGAAAATAATTTGAATCACATGGTTTGAATCATCCAACCAAACGTCTTGTAAAATGAAAAAGAAATAAGTTTTAGAGTAAACAAAATATAAAAAAAGACTTTAAAAAGAAAAAAAAAAAAAAAGGGGGTGCCATTCAACTAAACGTGGAGAAGTGTCATACATTTTTATATATAGAAATAAATAAGTTAGTAAGTAAGTAATCAAAACGAAAAAAATATATTATTCAGGGTAAAAAAAAAAAAGGCTAACAAAGACTAAAATGAAGAAATAAATAAATTTTAAGGTAAAAAAATAAAATGAAAAAATAAAATTTCAAGACAAAAAGTAAAAAAAAAAGGTAAAAATAAAATAAAAAATAAATAAATTTGAAGGTAAAAATAAAAAAAATAATAAAAGGAATGAACTGAAAAAGGAGAAGGGTTGTCATTTCAATCAAAACGTTACCGTTTTAGTTGTAATGGCAAAGAACACTTTTAATATATGGATAGATTAAGGCATCGTTCATTTCACCAATTCGAGTTTTTAATTTCAATTTTGCTACAGTTAAAAATTCTCATAAAAAGTCACATTTAACTATTTTTGCTACAGTGAAAAGCTCTCACATAAAATCACATCTTAACTCGAATTAAAAACTTAAATCTACGAACTGAACGAGGCCTAAAGGACCCAAAAAAATAGTGAAGTAGGGACACATAAGAGAAAAATAATGCAACACGTGCAAATTAGAAAAATGACATTTATAAAAAAAATAATGGTTGAGAAGATCATGAAAAAATAAAATATTCAAGTAGGGGCGTATATATAGAGAATTATTTTAGTGAGGCGTTCCAAAAGAATTGTGAGAATAATCTTTTGCGTAATAATATTTCATAGTACCACCGGAAAGAAATATCTAAATAAGATCACATTCGGACAAAAAAATACTTTATTCATGGGAAATGAGAGGAAAAAAGTTAAAAAAAATGGGCAAGAAGGAAAAATAAAAATTCCAGAAAAAAAAGTAAAAGGAAAAAGAAAATATGGAAAGAAAGAAAACCCAAAAGGAAAGATTTAGGGCACGTTTAAAACTCGTTCTAAAATAATTTTATTTTTTGTATGAAAATGAAAACGTTTTCAATCTCATACATAAATTATTTTTGAAAATGCGTTTGGTAGTTTTATCAATAGATTATTTTCAGTGTAAAAAAACCCATTAATATATCTCTTTCTCTCTCTGTGCTCAAGAGAAAAGAAAACGAAAATAAAAAATGAAAAACGACTAAAAGTCATTTTTCATTTTTCTCTCATTTTACACTAAACTAAAAAATCATTTTCATTTCCGTTTGTTGTCTTTATTGTACCAAACGCCGTTTTGAAAATATTTTCATTTTTTCTTTCTCAAAAAACGTGAAAAATAAAAACAGAATCAATTCTAAACACGGCCTTAATCTTTTAGGGGAGGAAAGCAAAAGAAAAAACAAAAGAGAAAGGAAAAAAGAAAAACAAAGAGTGGGATCAAAACACAAGTTTCAACTAAAACTTGGGTTATATCCCTTCCCTTGTCCTCCATTGAGAAATAGAAATGACTAATCCTGAGGTAAAGAGTTGAGAAACTCAACACCACTATTTTTGAACAACTTAGAGTCAGGCGCACTACTACGGATATGAAAATAATATAACAAATTAGATTCAATTATCAATTGTTCCTATCAAAAATAGGATTGGTTACGGACATAGTTTCATAAAACCATGCGATTTTTATGATCTAAATAAAACAGATTTTACATGAAGAAAATTTGTCTTAGCATGTTTTATTTGATATGGGTAGGAGAAGAACCGAACTCGGTATTCTTAAGAGAGAGAGAGAGAGAGAGAAATTAGAACCAAGTCAAGATAATACACGCGCATTTCAACCGAATACGCGTTTTGGTCGAAATACTCTAGCTCCGCTACAATAGGCGTTTTTATGCCTTATTATTATGTATAGATAAATTAGTTTGGTTATTATCTTTGAATTTTTTTGTTTTGGAAGTTTTTCTATGATTAGAACAAATAAATTACTAGTAGTTCTTTATTTTTAACCGTTAAATTTGTATAAAAAATAATATATTTTGTATTCTTTTTTAATTTAATGTGAGTTTGACATGATTCAACGGTTAAAAATTGACACTAATAATAAATTAGACCTATCAAAAAAATTTAACCTATTAATATATTAAGGTATCATAACGTATAGAGAAGGTATCTCTTTATTTTTTTAAAATATCTTTGACGTTTTATTTACTGAAGTACGGATGGGCGCCAGTTTGTCGGCACTTAAAAACCCTCATTAAAAAACT